GAGAACAATACAGATACATATATGACAGGAAGAGAAAATACCCATAGCAGAAGAATAGAGAACGAATATGTATATGACTATTATACAATTGTCTCTTATGGCACGTCTTTAATATGTGCCATAACATACAGTATCTCCGCTTTCAATAATCTCAGTATCAGCATCCGCTCAGCATGAGTACTTCGCTTCTTGAATTCTTGGAACATGGGGGAAGCGGTCACTAGTTTATGAAGTTTTGGCCCAAAAACAGTTTGTCCAAAAGCATTATACCGAAACATGATTTTATCGAAAAGGCCCAGCTATAGCTTACGCGAACAGAAGACGAGAAATTACAAAGAATGACTAAAAAATTACTATCCTTGTACAAGTCTCTCTCTAGTATCGAACCGCCTGACTTAATCTGTCCTTAAATGTTGAGAGATAGAAAATAGCCTTTGTTTCTGTAAATATTTTAAATATGTGTTTTATTTCGCTTGAGGTAGTTCTATTTTCGTACGTACAAGTACACCCTGATTCTATTCCTTGAGAGACAGAGAGAGATAAAATCGATAGCTAAATCTCGAAAGAGGATAAAACAAAAAAGGAAAAAGAAAAGAAAAGTAGACCACCAGCAATATAGAAATAAGGCGAAGCAGTCACACTACAATCTAAAATACACACGTTATATATAACAATTTTAACTACAGTTTTATTTTTATATATTTTATATACATATTTTATTAAGTTCACTAAAGTACATCTGAATTTAAAAGAGGTCGAAACGTTTGATTGTCTTAAATATATCTTTTAAATATTTTTAAACTGTTTTAATAAAATACGAAATTACAGTATCTCCCCTTTCAATAATCTCTTTTTCATCATCCACTCAACATTAGTACTTCGCTTCTCGAATTCTCGGAAACATCGAGGGGAGAGCGGTCACTAGATTATGAACTTTTCGCATAAAAACAGTTTGTCCAAAAGCATTTTGCCGAAGAAGCATTTTACCGAAACATGATTTTATCGAAAAGGCCCACCTATGGCTTACGCGAACAGAAGACGAGAGATCACAAAGAATGACTAAAAAATTACTATCCTTGTACAAGTCTCTCTCTAATATCAAATCGCCTGACTTAATCTGTCCTTAAATGTTGAGAGATATAAAATAGCCTTTGTTTCCGTAATGCTGGACAGTAATAAATGGCGATGCCATTTATGCTAGAGGTTAATAAATGGCAGAGCCATTTATGCTAGGAAACAAGCCATTTATGCTAGAAATTAGCCATTTATGCTAGACAACCCTCCCGAATACACAAATTATGAAATAGAAAGAGCCGTTTATGCTGGAGAGTAATAAATGGCTATGCCGTTTATGCTAAAGGTTAATAAACGGCAGAGCCATTTATGCCAGAAATTAGCCATTTATGCTAGAAAACCCTCCCGAATAGACAAATTATGAAATACAAAGAGCCGTTTATGCTGTAGAGTAATAAATTACTGTGCTATTTATGCTAGAGGTTAATAAATGGCACAGCCATTTTTGGTAGGAAAATCGCCATTTGTGCTGAAGAGTCTCTCCTACAATACATTTTTTCTTTCCATGATAGGGAGCCATTTATTCTAGAAATACTGTGGGTAAGCCATTTATTCTAGAAACGGCGCAATTTATTTATCTAGTAATAAATTGTAACTGCTGGGTAAACGTGATACTATTGTTGTTAAAAATGATGATAATACTAAAATAACATATCAGAAAAGAATACTTTTGAATAATTTACGTGAAAGTTTTGAATTATTTATAGAAGAAAATAAAGGAATAATTATTTCTCGTTCATCGTTTGCTGATTTAAGACCTCCATTTGTAGTTCCAAAAGCAGCGCTAGCTCATAGAATATGTGTGTGTATCTATCATGAAAATGCTAATCTAATACTGAAAGCAATTGATAAATTTGTTAAAGGAAATGTTTGTTCATCTTTACAACAATTTACTTGGGCTTTAGTTTGTAATACTGTCAATCAAGAATGTATGTTTCTTGCATGTCCATTATGTGAAAGTAATTTTCAAGAGAAAGTTATTGATAATGTTGTAAGTGGAGCAACTAGAATTAAATGGTGGCAATGGGTCAATATAAACGGACGTGCAGAAAAAAAGGAATTTGAAGGATCAGTTGATAAAGGTGTTGAATTGTTGAAATCCAAAGTTAAATATTTTCTATTTCATGTCTATATTAAGCGTGAACAAAGTAAATATTTCGAACAGTTAAAGTCAGAAGTAACAGATGAAAAAGTTGTTATACAAGTTGATTTCGCTGAAAATTTTGGATTGAAAGAGCAAGACGAAATTCAAAGTGCTCATTGGAATACAAACACTCTATCTATATTTACAGCTTATGTATGGTCTAAAAGTCAAGGTTTTCCATTCACGCTTCCATCGAATGACGTCTCTCACGATAAATTTGTTGTAAACTCAGCTATTGAAATTATTTTAAATAAACTTAAAACACATGTACGGAATTTAATACAAATTGATTTCTTTTCTGATGGCGCAGTCACACAATTTGAGCAACGTTTTATGTTTCGTAATTTAATTCAGATTGCTCATGAATATAAAATAGCTTTAAGTTGGAATTTCTTTGCTACAAGTCATGAAAAAGGCGTTGTTGATGGTCTTGGTGGGACTGTTAAGAGGTTCGTTTGGTCAGCAGCATTGGCAGGTGATAATTTTAAATCAGCGAAAGATTTTGTTAGTTACCGCAACAGAAAACAAAGAAGATAATTATAATTGAAATTACGAAAAATGATATTGATAATTCAAAACTAAAACTAGAAAATATATTTTAAGTAGCTAAATCTGTACCAGAAACACTCAAAACACATTCTGTAAAAGTAATTGATAATAAAACTCTTGAATGTAGATATTATTCATTAAGTTCAACAAAGAAAATAATTAAATATGACTAAAGAAATTTTTTTCTTATCGATCTATTTTGTTTTCATTGCAGCGGCCGTTGGTAAACACATGTTGTGTGAGTGTGAGTGTGTTTTTAATGTTGAAAGCCGATGAAAGGCAAAAAAGGAAATGTTCCCTTGGCCAGGGTTCTTGACGATTAGGCCACAGAAAAGAGAAAAAAAATGTACGAAAAAAACATTACCCAGTTCCAGGAGGCAGGGTCTGCGTCCCGAACTGGAGAAACGCTAGTATTTGAGATAGCGTGTTCTTAAATGCTAGTGGCTAAGCGCCTCCATCGTTGAAGAAGAAAGCTCATAGAGAGGCTATCATCATTATGCTTGAAGTGTTTTACGTGGAAGAAAAAGATGGTTCAACCATTAGTTAGAGGAGTCCTAAGGTTCAAGAAACTACTTTAGAGTAGAGAAATGCAGTAATTTCGCTCTTTTAGGACTAAAGAATGTTTCATCCAACAATTATTTCGTCATTGAAAACCTCAACCTTTGTGAGAAAAAAGAAGTCACAGCGTCACGAAAACCGTCACAGAGTCACGTTAATAAATTGGATTTTCTAATCGACGCAAAGAGTCTGAAACAAAGTTCTTTTTAGCAATAGATAGCTCTTTAGTTACTCTACAAACTTCTCTCTAGGAAAGCGTGTTTTGTTAAATGAACTTCACAGGAAATTGGCATTTAATTAGCAACACTCAGAAAAAAGGGCCTTTTTTTCTCACATTGGGAAACAAATGACTGAAAAGTTTCTAGAACTCTAAAATAAAAATTTTAAATGTCCTCCCATGACTTGAAAAAATTAAATTTCTCAATCTAAAACTAAACAAAAGCCCTCAAAGGCCACAATCGATATAGACAACAGAACAGAAGTGACTTCGGTGCTCTTAAAAAAATACTTATAACTTTTGCTTAGAGTTATTTTATAGCCCCCATCTTTCTCTACACTTACGAGCTGCGGGATATGATAAAGGGGTAAAGGTAAAAGACTTTTTGACAGATTACAGATACAAATCTGACATTCATTGGTTAAATGAGTCATCGACTCATACAGATAAAACATGGAAAGATTGAGGGAAAAAAATCGAAAACGGCGAACACAAAAAAAAGCGATATAAAGAAAATGACTGAAAAACCCCGGTGTTATACACAGAAATCGGTATTTAAATTTGAAAAACAAGGGAAACACTTTTTTGTTGGGACAGTTTTGCTCAGTTCACACGTCCTGTGAGGATTAATCAACTCATGTTTTGAATGAGGATGCTCTTTATCGATCGTGGCGATTCGAATGACATGAGAAGATCAGTTTTTACAAAGTCTCATCAGTTAGGAAATTAAAGGAGGGATCCGCATAAAGTTAGGAATCGATCCAGTCTCTTTATGAGCAACAATCGTTTCTTATGTAGTAAAAAAAGTATTCCTATTCGATTCCAGGTAAGATCGAATGCTTTTATTCCCAAAAATCACGTTAATTCCTTAAAACAACGCAAAAATCATAAGTGAAAGCTATTTTCCTCAAATTATATATAACAAAGTCTTCTAGAAAACGTTCTTCATGGTGAAAAACAGTAAATATCGTTTCTCTGTGAAGATCGATTTGTGCAAAACTGAATCCAGCAGATAAAGTTTAGAAAATTTGTTAAGAATTTATCTGGCTTGGCCCGACCAATCCTGAAACTTTTCTGACCCGGTCTAAGCAGTTTGCCTTTTTTCGTCTCGTATCTGTAAAGCTTCTGCTGGCTAAGCTGTGTAAATGTGTTTCTCAAGCTAATAGTTATATCTTTAGCATTTCTTGCTCTTGAGTATACACATAAACTACAAATCCACGCATGCCTAAAAATTCTTAAAGCACCACTGATTGAATGCTCTAAATCCAACTGATAATAATCATCCACTTGATGATATGACATCGAAAATGTGACGAGAATTATTTCAAAAAATGCGGGTTACATTTATTGCTCGAGAAAAACGTAATTTAACTGTTGAATATTTGCTTAAAGCATTAAAAGAAAGTGTTTTAGCTAAAATAGGAGAAAATTTAAAGGTAAGATGTATTAGTTATTTATTCTACTTCTTCATTGACTTTTGTTCTAGAGAAAAATTAATGGAGCAAAGCTATCAACTATAAATGTCATTTTGTTTGAAATTTATCGTTAATTCAACGAAATATAACAGATGCAGTGAACTTTGGTAACTAAAGCCATAGTTATAAGTAGGCCTTTTAGTAGCATCTTCAAAAAGTAGTTTTAGCCTAAAAAATACTCTTTTTTATAAATATATCATCATCTAACTGTTCCTTGAACATGAACCTGAACATATGAAAACTACCCACTTATTATCAAATTATATATCAGTCGATACAGTTTTTCGCTTAGATTCCGAATATCACATTGGTTTTGCATAAAAATGCTTCTGAACGTTTAAAACTTAAGTTTTTCGCTTTTTCCGTTCTGCATGTATATGTTCGTGCTCACTGCGAAAAAGAGAAAATATGTTTTTTTTCTTCTTTCTTTTCTCTTTCCATATGGTAGGTACAACACGTTCTTATTTTTCCAGCGTGTCATCGATATAAGAGCAATCTATTTAGTCGACTTTTATATTTTGTGATTTCAGTGAGAAAAGGTGTCTCTCAACCACTTACCGATAATTTACCAGTATACGTCAAGTTTTAAGCTCTATCCGAATTTGACTGTCTGGCATTCCGGAAACATGCGCAATGCGGAATAGACAGCTTTTTAGAAAAATTTAATTAAGATAAAAACTTGTTTTCAGATTTAACTACCAAATTCTAAGTTCTAGTTTTAGTCTCAACAGACAGAGCACATAAAATTACATATGTTTTACGCGGTTTTCTCTTCATGAACATGATGCATTCATTTTAGGCTCATCTAGAGATTGAGCTCAAAATAACTACATACATCAAATACATCAAAATGTCCCACCCCCAAACAAATCTCTAGAATTGTTTTGGCTAGTACATAAAGCCTCAGATTATGCGATCATACGTAGTTTGACATCTGAATTGAATGGCCGGCTCAGTTTTCTGAAAACCGGTTCAGCAAAGGATTTCCGGGAAACCTGGATTTCTAGAGACCCAAGCCTAGAAATTGTCAAAAACCACTCTTTAAGGATGCCAGTTGATAAAGCATATGTGAAAACCCATGGTTCAATACATTTTTAAGCTAAATTATAATTCTTCACCCAAATTATGTCAGAATAACAACGTGTACTCTATTTTACTTGCTCAATACTATGCAGTTCAATATAAGCTTTACAAATCAACAGGAAATACCTTGCTTTTTGACAAGGTTTTCTAGAAATTCTCCGAAGTACAAGAATGTTTTTTACTATTCTTGAGTAGAAAAACATATAGAGCAGGTAAAACAGAGTACATCTTGTTATTCTGACATAATTTGGGTGGATCTTGACTGG